TGGAGCTTATATCCCAGTGGGGGCAGACAGATAATAAACAAGTAAGTAAAAATATACACATGCTTGGATGTTGGAGAGTAATATCAAAGACATATTAAAGATATGCTTAAATATGCTCTGGCTGAAAGAAAATCCATCTATTCCATCTTTCTAGATTCAGTTCCTTCCCTTTTTTTTTTTTTAAGATTTTATTTTATTTATTTGACAGAGAGAGACACAGTGAGAGAGGGAACACAAGCAGGGGGAGTGGGAGAGGGAGAAGCAGGCCCCCCGCCGAGCAGGGAGCCCGATGCGGGGCTCAATCCCAGGACCCTGGGATCATGACCTGACCCGAAGGCAGACGCTTAACGACTGAGCCACCCAGGTGCCCTCTCAGTTCCTTCCTTAAGCTAACTTATCGCAATGTAAAAATAAAATAAATGCCATTCTATAAAATAAATTACATTAACAATTATAGCAGGCCTACACAATAAAAAGTACAACCATGGTGTTAATTTGCTACTAAATGTGATAATGCAATGTATAATGTTGTTTAGCCCATTATTATTAATATTTCATCAAAGACCGCAGAGTAAGGAATATCCGCAAATATTTACATGTCTGTTTAATAATTAGTACCATGCCATGTATTGGGATACAAAGAATTAGCAAATTATAGTCAGTCACCCCCCTTAAAAAAGTTTAAAATATATGCAACCAGGAAGTTACATAAAATTCAACTAAGAAAAGTTCCGGAGAGCATACAACAGCGTTAGAATGAGAGCTAAAATATGATGTTCTGCAAAATAGACTGTAGAGCGAGAAAATGATCAAATTTCCAAAAGGGGAAAGGCCATGAAGACTAGGCAGGGCTTCAGAAAGAGGGAGCGGCACTAACTGCAACACAGCTGGAGAAATGCAGTACATCAATGAGATAGTTCTGGTGATCAAGACCTGAATTTATGAAGCCCTGGATGAGGATGATAGCATAGGCAGCAAATTTAAAGGCACGGACCTGAGATTTATTTTGAAGATAGCGTCAGCTATTCTTATGACTAACTGGATTGAGGGACAGAGAGAATGTGGCAACTTCCACCTACCTACTAGGCAAGAGATGGCTGAAGTTCCAGCTTGAGGACTAGGCCGAGTCCAACTCACCACTGGTAACTTCAAGTGGCCCAACAGGCCAGGATGGAGACTAGTCAGGGCCCAGCACTGGGACACCAAGGAAGAGAAAAAAATGTTTTACAACGCAAAAGATCCAACAGCTAAGACTGGTAGTCAGAAAGATGCCAGTGCCTCTAGCAACAGTACAAGTACCAAAAACAGCCGAAAGAAATTATTTCTTGGGGCCAGAAAAATATTGGTGCAATTGATCAGGCCACAAAAATTGCCCAGAGGAGTCAGTTTTGGAATGAAAGTTGATGAGCAAGTAGGTTGTACAGAAGCTGACTTCTAGATAATGGGAAAGCATCGACTACCTTATGAGCAAATCAATGTGTAGGACCCATTTCATCAAAAAAGGAGAGTCGAAACCAATGAGAACAAATGAATTTTTTTTTTTCCCTTAGGAAAAAAACAAAATTAAAGCTTGGAAGAGAGATGGTGAAAAAAGATACAGCAGTCAAGAGAAGGGAGTTTGAAGGAATGGCCTGAAGAGAATCAGATGGAATAGAGTGGTTAGGGAGATTCCTTCAGGTATAAAGCTTTTAAGACAGAAAAATAAAGCTTTCAGAGTACGTGTGCTCAACCAAATGGACAGAACAGTCCCAAAGATGAAGAATTATACCTGGTTTTATGTGACAAATTGAAGGATAATGTAGAAAGAACAAGCCACATGACATAATCCTACCATAAAAGCATTAGAGCATGACTCAAGAGATTTAACCCACAGAAAGTTATTAATAGGTCCTTCCTGTTTACAAAATAGTACAAACATGACATGCCACCCAAAACAAAAAGAACTTTATTCTCCCTCTCTACCTTGCTTTTTCAAAACTGTGGATTAAAACAAAAATTTTTTTAATGATTTCAATGTCAATTTCAACCTACATCCAACAGTAAATAATCCAATCTCAATGGCCAATCATTTAAAACTTTGCTTTGTTGGAATTTATGGAATGTACTCCATTTTTTTTTTTTTTTTTTACTTGGAAAGCTTTAAAGTTTGAAAGGCTGGTAGCAGTTGGTATTACCAACCGTTTTTGTTTTTAAAAAGCACAGTCCAGAGGAGCTGTTACTAAGTGACAGTCCCTCACCCCTTCTTTTTTGAATATCCCACTGCCATTATAGTTTTTGCAAAGCACAGTTGAAGGGTAGCTGCTCAGGTGTGCCCTCTGATTTTTAGTACTAACGATTTTTTTTTTAGAAATCACCTTTATATACTGTAAGGCACAATTTAAGTTAGATGCTAGGTTTTAGATAACACTTTTACAGATATATTTATGTGTGCTTACATGTATGTTTATTCATGTATTTATGAAGACTGAAGAGAGCCTCTCAATATTTAGTTGCTGCTGTGAGGGCTTAAGTGGAAAAAATTAGGCAAAAAGACATGGCTTTAAAATTTAAAAAGAGAATGCAATTAACGCAAATAAATAAAAATTAGGACTGATGTATTTCATGAAAACTATGATTTTTAACAACAAAAAAAGATCAGAATTAAGGAAACCATGATATTTAACATGGCAGGGATAAGAAGAAATACTATGTGTATTATATGCCGGCTCACTAAAACAGGCCGGTTGTAATAACAGGATAATACAATCCCCTGAAAATTACTTCGACCCATGTAATATAATCCGCAGAGCATGATGAGTCTCTTCAGCAAATGCCTTTTCCCACCTATCCCTGTGTCACTGTTCTATGGTCTCTGTCTCTTCCATCCGCCTAGACAGCGGGCCCACATCCTCTAGTGGGAGACTCCGGTGGCACGTGATTCCCGCAGGCTGGTTAGGTGCTTCTGTGGGTTCTCACCAACCCGTGTGCACACCCTTTCAATACCACCTCATATTATAATTGCTGTAAGTTTATCTCCCTCCCCACTACTCTGCAGCTAGCCCCTGAAGGTTGGGTCTCAATCTCTATCTTTTGAACACTATACCTGGCAAACACAGTTTTTGAATTAGAGTTAGTAAGTTGTGTGCTGCCCTGTGGATATGAATTAAAATATGGGGCTACATCTTAAGACAAAAATCGAGCCACTCAACATACAAAGCTAGGCAACTTGCAGGAGACTGCGCAGGCTCAAAGCTATAGGTCTTATAACTTTATAGAATAAAAAGTGAAATCATTTTTGTTTGACCAGCACGTTCATACATTCCACAAAAACAAGAAACACAAAACACCAAATAGTGCTTGGCTTTGAAAGACAAACCCAAACAGGAAGATATGTATGAGTTAATGTGTAAAAGCTAATTCACAATGAGATATAAACCATAAAGGAGTAGTCTCCTGATGCTATGGAGCTACTTCTACTCAAGCAGATAGGAATCCATGTTGCAACTCTAAGGGGAGGTGGGATAGCGTTAAGACCTGACCCAGCCGGATGAGGCCGAGAGGGGAGAGAACTCAAGTGCTCATGCTTGGATGGATCCAAAGACAGTGCAAATACCAGCCATCCCAGAGCAGTGGGCAGTTTCTTCTTTTTGCTTATCTGGAATCTCTTTCTGCTTGGGTAGCTCTGACTTTCCTCTGTTCTGATCTACTTGTCAAACCAACCTGAATCAGGGAGCAGTGGGACAGCTCCCAGGAGGAAGACAGCCAGGCTGCAGAGTGCTTCTGGGAAAGCATCAGCCTCACGGCCACAGACAGCCCTGCCCCCAGAAACCTACCCACGGGCAGGAAGCCTGTTAGCCACAGGGAACTTTAAGCCTGGGCAGTAAGTCCAGGCACAGAAAGGCAGCAGAGCTCATTCCCTTCCACCAAGTTGTTGAAATTGGTGTGGAAAAGACCTTGGCAGCAAAAGAACTGACCTCGCATGCCCATTATGGCAAAGGAGAGGAAAAAAGCCCTGTGTTGGAAGAATTAAGTAACGGCAAGAGACTTCTGAAAACGAGCTTCCAGTCAATTTCATAAATTTGGGTTTGTGGACTATAACAAAAGAAAAGATGGGGCACAGGTGCTGCGTTCTCCCACTGAAACACGAATTCTTACAAAATGCGGTGGAACTCTACAAAAGTTATGGGTCATCCCCTGGGAACATGCTGGCCACCTCAGTCAGTCCTAGTTTTAAATGACAGAGACGTTCTGGGAACACTGAGACATGCTAACCGGACATTTCATCTTTCCAAGGTACTTAAGGAGAGTATCCTGTTTTAGCAGTTTGGCATAAACGGACATCAAAGTAAAGGAGGAATGAGCACTAGCATCCTTGCTCAATGTTCCAGAAGACAGTGGTGCTTTGATCTTGGCTTCCTGGTAAGGTCGTCCTCAGGACACAGCTCTCCAGGTGATGGTACGGCCAATACCATAGTTGCTAACCTTTCACAAAGACCTTAGGTAGCAAAAGAAAAATCCGACAGCTCAGCACTAGGTTTTGCACTTTTCTTGGCAGCATGCTGGCCGCATCTGTCTATAAATTCAGCAGCAGCAGCATTATTTTATCATGGAAAGTAGGACGTGCCCTAACAGTGTATATGCTCATGACTGTTCACATAAAAGAGAACCATAAGCTTATGTCCTTGTTTTGTTTTGTTTTGTTAAGCTGTAAAAGGTAAGCTGAGCCATCATGCCTGTCATATATACATTCTCTCCAGTGCCACATTAAACAGTAAAAGAAGTGAAAATGACCCTAATCCTGGGCTGGGCTTTCCTGTTACTTAAAATTTAGTCCTATGTGTCTGTCACATACTCAATTCTGTTTCACATCCATCTGCACAACTCATAAAGGCAGGCCAGAGAGCATGGTTATTATAGTGAAGTCCGGGTGCTCAACGGTTAAGTGTCCATCAGCCTTGAGGTGAAAAGTAACACCTCGACAACAGCGTCCCTGAGATGAGATGAGGGCGGGGGATGGATACCTAGCTGCTTTTCGCGCTCCTCACGTCGCTCCCTGGCCAGTCGCTGCCGGTCGTCCACCCGAAGCACGGGAGGAGGGTCTGAAAAGGAGAGAAAACACATGAGCAGAAGAGCAGATTTTCTCATAATGATATACTTTGATAATTACCTTTTTGTCTAGTAAATTCTATGAATAAAATATTACTATGTCTTACAACTGGTACACAGGACTATAGTTTCAGTGACATATTTTATTATTACAATTTTTCTGAGAATTTCCAAGCATTTTTCTCCTGTTTAAAAACATTATATGAGAGAGTAGATCCTAAGAGTTCTCATCACAAGGAGGAAACCCCCCCTCCCTTTTTTTCTTTCCCATATCCATATGAGATGAGGGATGTTAACCTGACTGTGGTGATCATTTCACAATACAGGTAAGTCAAGTCATTATGCTGCACGCCTTAAACTTAACAGGGTGCTGTATGTCAGTTCTAGCTCAACAAAAATGGGAAACAAGTTCTAAAAACAAAATAAAAAGACACACAGTCTGCACCCCCCAAAACCCATGATGTAAAAACATAACTGTAGCCTTTTGACTGTTTCTATCCAGCAGTATATATGATGCTTTGTGTTCCTAAGCTAGTGAACTTCTATCATTTTTATGCTTTAAAAAGTCTGTCCCTCAACAGCAAACAGAATCGTAAGTGAATTTCTACTGAATAGAGGTTCACCAGTTGGATGTAAAAAGCCCAGCTCTGAGGTCACACACACAAGTTCACTTTCTGTTCTCTCACCCACTATGTAAGTTTGGCTGAGTTACTCACCAACTCTCTAAGTCTCAAGTTAATTAGCGCATGGGTTTCATGGATATTTTTTTAAAAGATTTTATTTATTTATTTTAGACAGAGAGAGAGAGAGAGAGAGAGAGAGAGCGAGAGCGTGCACAAGCAGGAGGACTGGCAGGCAGAGGGAGAGGGAGAAACAGGCTCCCTGCCGAGCAGGGAGCCCGATGTGGAGCTCGATCCCAGGGATCAGGACCCAAGCCCAAGGCAGATGCTTAACTGACTGAGCCACCCAGGAGCCCCCTGGATTTTTATTTATTATCTACCAAATGAGAATAAATAGAACCAATCTCACATCACTGTAAGAACTAAATGAAATACTTGAAATGGCATTAGTTATGGTGCCTCACACATAAGCCTCAGTTAACTCATTCATTCACTGAACACACGTTGAACATCAACTCTGCACCAGGCATCATTCTAGGTGCCGAAAAGAAAGCAGTCAAGAAAGAAAAAAAAAAAATCTCTGCCCTGGTGGGGACTGCATTCTACTCAGGGAGAATTTTATAAACAGGATAAATAAGAGATATACAATGAAAAAAAGGGGTTGGGGCGTCTGGGTGGCTCAGTTGGTTAAGCGTCTCACTTTGGCTCAGGTCATGATCTCAGTGTCCTGGAATGGAGCCCCACTCGGCTGCTCTGCGCTCAGCGGGGAGCCTGTTTGTCCCTCTCCCTCTGCCCCTCCCCCTCCTTGCACATGCTCTCTGATAAATAAATAAAATCTTTAAAAAAATGAAAAAGGGGAAAAATACTGAATGTTACTTTGAGATAAATGCTAAGGGGACAACAAAGCAACAAAGGGGATTGCGACATGGCAGGAAGGGGGATGTTTAACATTTTAGACAAGGGTCAAGGGAGGCTTAACTGATGTAACTTTTATGTGCAAAACCCTGATGGAAATGACACACAGATGTGCAGATATTCCAGGAAATGGAAAGCAAACACAAAGGCTGAGATTAAGAGCACCTAATGTGCTCAAGAAACGGGTAGATCTAAGAGCCTGGAATGGAGTGAGATCCTAAGCAACAGGGCCAGACATGCGAGGGCCACAGCACGGGGCTCTCTGGTCACAGTGAGGACTCTGGATTGTACTCGGAGTGAGACACTGCTGGGGGTTTCCCAGTAGAGAGCTATACTAACGGGTTCCCTCTGCTACTATACAAACAAGCAAAATAATAATAATGATGATGATGATGACCTTAAGATCAGGTTTATTTTCTCCTCTCTTAAACTGACATATTTTTAAGATCTCATGTTAAAAATAGAAACCTAGGGGGACGGTATTTTAGACAGCATGGTAGTGCTTCATCAGCAAATCTAAAGGCCCTCCAACCCAAAGGCCTCTTAAATGTCACAGAATTTGTACATCCAGGGAAACAGAAACTGTAGAAAGGCCTATCAGGAGCATGCATAAACCTGGCAGTGAGAATCATGAGCAAGACTAAGTGATGGTATTTTATGCTTTTCCTTTCTTTTAAGGTAAGATTTTTAAAAACTGGTGAAAGGACCCCTCAGTAGCTCACACTTTTTATGATACTTACTTCTCAGATTTACTGAGATTATTTATTAGATTTCAAATATTGTTTGTGTAAGAAAATATCGCTCCTGGCCCCAAAAGGTTTACTTCTGAAATCTGAAAATGGGCATGTGGACTCCAGCTCAGGCACCTGTTATGGGCCATACACGGGGGTGCTTTACTGTCATTTGTTTCTGGTGAAAAGAAATGATAGCATGGCAAATGCCATTCTTAAGAAAGAACTATCCGAGAACAAGTCAAAATGAAGTTAGAATAGACCTTTAATGATTACCTACCACTTAAGTAATATTCCTTAAATAATGAGGTTTACCTGTTCATAAACACTTATTTAACTACAAAACTCAAAAATCAACTTTATTTAAAAAGATGCATAAGCACATTACAGACAGTCTCCATAAAATAGTGTAGGGGCGCCTGGGTGGCTCAGTCAGTTAAGTGTCTGATTCTTGATTTGGGCTCAGGTCATGATCTCCAGGTGGTGAGATCGAGCCCTGTGCTCAGCACGGAGCATGCTGGAGATTCTCTCTCTCCCTCTGCCCCTCTCCCGGCGCTCGTGCTTTCTCTAACTAACTAACTTTAAAAATTAACTACTTGGAATTATGTTTATAAATTCTGCCACAGACTATCGATATGAAGGATGTGACATTTCTAGCTTACTTTCCAGTACATGCCAAATTTCATGCAAAATTTTGAAAAACAATTTTGAAAGGAAGATTTTAATAACAACGTATGGGACACACACACCCTCACCCTCTTCTAACCCAAACCAACCCTGATGGCCCCAAATCAGTAACTGGTATCAGTAACCCAATTATGCACTATAATAGTTGCCTTTTAGATACACAGTTGGAAAAATAGCACAAGAGGTGATTTCTGTAATATTATTTCATATGAAGATTATGCTCATCACATGTAATAAACCGCATCCTGCCTGATCATATAAGAAACAAGGCTGTATATAGTGCTGCACAAATATATCAATTAATCACTATAAATAAGGCCGATGCTTACATGTCCAATGATTCCCACTGACCTTTTGAGATCAGAGCTGAAATGATAATCACTATTACTTTGGAATCAGATTTTGAGGAAGTAAAGACTTAGGGCATGGTGACTGTGATATGCTAGATGATTCTGATTGGTTTAGGAACCTGGCATTAGAAAATACTGAATTGTAGAGGGAAAAGGTATTCAGCTTTTTTTTTTTTTAAGATTTTATTTATTTATTTATTTTGGGGGGGGGTAGAAGGAGAGTGAATCTCAAGCAGACTCTGCGCCGAGCACCCTGAGCCCGACATGGGGCTCCATCCCAGGGCCCTGAGATCATGACCCTGAGATCGTGACCTGAGCTGAAACCAAGAGTCAGATGCTCAACTGACTGAGCTACCCAGGCGTCCCAAGGCATTCAGTATAAATTCTGTTTCCATCCTTCTGATTACATAGACAGAGAGTCACTTTGGTGCTAGAATGTCAATAATACTTATGGCAGATTAAAGATGGTGTGAATGGGGGTGGGGAGGAACAGAGCCTTTTGTTTTGAATAAAACAGGCTCTGCTTATTCCCATCTGGCAGAAAGGAGAATATTCAGTCAGTGTCGGTTGAACAAAGGAGCAAACGACCTTCACTAACTTTCAGAGCCTTTAAACTTCCACTAACATGCACCAACGGGGCAAACAAACAGCAATCTTGTATTTGATAACTGACTTAAAAAAAAATTAATGCTAAGCAGTCAGTTTTCATAACCAAAAATTATCTTTCAAGCTAGATTTCCAAAAATGAAAAAATGGAATAGTTCCAAGTAAATAGTGAATGTTCTAGAATTCTCCCTCTCATCTCCATCCTTCACATCACTTTACCCTGGAGCAAAATCAAGGTACAGGAAGTACTTTAACATTATGAACATTTCACATCGTTTCCTGATACATCTAACGCTGTCAGAAGGAAAAGTTTTCAGAGCAACAGAATATTGCTGCATTCTGCTTTCAACCTCCTGCCGGGATGACTGAAGGTGGGGGTGTCCACCCAAACTGGGGCACTTTTTTTTTTTTTTTTTAAAGATTTTATTTATTTATTTGAGAGAGAGAGAATGAGAGACAGAGAGCACGAGAGGGAAGAGGGTCAGAGGGAGAAGCAGACTCCCCGCTGAGCAGGGAGCCCGATGTGGGACTCGATCCCGGGACTCCAGGATCATGGCCTGAGCCGAAGGCAGTCGCTTAACCAACTGAGCCACCCAGGCGCCCCAAACTGGGGCACTTTTAAGGGTGACAGGAAGTGCTCCTGATATTCTGTCTCTGATGACATGCATGAACCTGGACGACAAATGAGAACTCAGTGACTGTCAAAGATAAGAAAATCAACTCACACTGACAAAGCTTGCTCAAGAGCTCACCAGTCTTTGACTTCAATCAGAACAACTACTGTTGATACAATAAGTAACTTCATCAGGGCTTTGCATTTTACAAAGCACTTTCACAAATGTTATCATTTCGTCCTTTACAATAGCTCTATGAGCTGGCCACTTATTCCTTCAATGACGAGTTCTCACGCCTGTTTTCAAAGGAGAAAACTGAGGGAAATGTCTGTGACCAAGGAAGGTGGCACAGTGAAATGTTAGAGCTAGTTCTTAAAATCAGATCTCTTGCTCAACCCCAGGCCCTTCTGCACACCATGGCACCCAGGGAGTCATCACAATTGGCTTGATGTAGCGGCCAGAGAAGGCCTGGAGGATTCCAAGGCCTGCATTCCTCTGTGATGGAAATGATTTATAAATGCTAGTGCAGTTATTAGTGGCTCTTTTAAAGACTTGTGGTGGGCGCCTGGGTGGCTCAGTTGGTTAAGCGACTGCCTTCGGCCCAGGTCATGATCCTGGAGTCCCGGGATCGAGTCCCACATCGGGCTCCCTGCTCAGCGGGGAGTCTGCTTCTCCCTCTGACCCTCTTCCCTCTCGTGCTCTCTGTCTCTCATTCTCTCTCTCTCAAATAAATAAATAAAATCTTAAAAAAAAAAACTTGTGGTGGAGGGTGATAAAGGGATAGGAATTAAGAGAGATTTTTTAATGAACTTAAGTTTCTGCTTTTTTCAGGTATGTACAGTTCATGAAGAAAATACCAATGTTCCCATCTAATCAGATCATACTCTGAATCATTTGGAGGCAGCTGATGGCGTTCTCAAGAGCCATCACCCACTCTGTAGACATGAACAGATCGGTGACTTTACAAATGGTCTCTTTCGGTCTGGGTCCAAGTATTCACAGGTTGAGAGTACTGGTCTTTCCCAGACAACATGAGACATACTATGCCCACACTTATAAACCACAAGGGCCTTCTATACATGTTTTAAAGATAAAATATTAACAACCTGAATGTTATTAACATCAAAGAGATGTTCTAGAGTATTCCAATGAATTTTAAGTTATCAGACGGTTAAGGATGGAAAGACATTTAACTAAAATTTACTGGGTTAAAAGAGACCCCGAGAAATCATCTGGTCAGAATGCCCATATCAGGTTGAGGGCAATACTCAAAATAGTCAAAAATTGAGTACTTACTTTACTCCCCCACCCCAAGTTCCAGGGAATGAAAATTAATAAACTGCTCTAGGCAGACATTCCCATGACTTATATCTCATAAAATTAAAAGGTTTTACTCAAGCCTAGCCCTCCAACGTGAAATCTCTTCTATCATCCTTTAGAGGCACTAAGGAAAACAACATGGTGGTTTTAAAAGCGAGACCTTCATATGTACCTCTGCTTATTTATAGATGTACAAGAAAGGAGTCACACGATGCTCCAAAAGCACAATCTGAAGGGTTGCCAGAGAGGTGAGGGGTGGGGAGGAATGGGCAGAATGGGTGAGGGGAGTGCACGGTGCAGACTTCCAGTTACGCAGCGAGTAAGTCACAAGGGTAAAAGGGACAGCACAGGGAATAGAGTCAAAATGAGGGAAAAACAGCATAGATACCATTTAGCGAACATTCAAGTCTCATGGTAAAACAAATGAGGTTTTCATGCTAAAGGATCCTCACTTGAATACAAGGAACCCGAGTCCACTAAAATAAGGCCTGGGAACACAGGGGCCCTGCTTTGCTCATCCGGTACCTGTCACGGTCCCAGGCACAGGACAATTACTCAGTAAGGAGTAGACGGCGGCTGAGTGGTAGGTGGATAATGAATGGATGAAAAGGCAAATTAAGTGGGGAATCTCAGCCTGCTAATTAAAATTCCACTGAAACTATACACATCATTTTCCATTAATGGCTGCTCATGCAGTCCATGCAATAGTACTTGTTAGTTGTCCTTCTTTTAAGCAACAAGCCAGATTTATCTGCTCTGTTAAGATCTTTTCCCACATGGAAACCCTGCCACCCCCCGCCAAACTAGGTATAATGGGGGAATGTTTTCTCGGAGGCGAGAAAGAGTTATTTTTCATCTTTATTCTCACTGATTCACTGTTCTTGAATGACTTCGGTCTTGGATGCTGCATGAAGTAGGCTTCCAAGGCCCTCATGGGGGGTTCAATTTGTCTTTGCCTTCCTTGGCTTGTTTACCATCATACTGGACAATGGTCTCTCCCAAGGGCCACACAATGGCTGCTGGATACTTGAAAGCAACTGCATTGTTTATTCAACTGTTTATGTTTACAGGCTGTTTGCTTCTTTGTATCACTGAGTAGAACAGACCATGAATCACAGGCTATTAAATGAAATTACTGTGTAGGTGTACAATCACTGCAGAAAATAGAGAACAAAAACATAATTCTGTACCAGCTTTGCTATGTGTAAAGATTTCCTTAAATGGCTTTTGAAAATGTCACAAAAAAGATATGCAATAATGCTGGGCGCACAGGTACAAAAAATTGTGTCGTATGCATCATTTCAAAAAAGAATAGGAAAATGATTACCTCTTATACATTGCTTGACAGTAAACAATGCACCCACATGCATCATCTCACTGACTGTCAAAATGATTCTGGGAGGTAAGGAGGGCATGTGTTTGAATCTCCATTTTAAAAAGAGAAAATCAAGGCTTTCAGAGGTTCTCGGACTTAAACTTAGATAAGCCAGTATGAGTTGTCTGTGTTTTGGTAGCAGGACTGGAACTAAGCTCTCCTAAATTCTAGCCCGCCTTAGGCTTTAGGGATAACCTTTTTTTCTACAGCAAATGCCATGCATGGTACCTGGCTTATTTCCTGAGTAGTTGCTATTTTGTCCCGAAATAGCAGAGGGCCGGCTGGAGGCAGCATTTTTCTTATCTTGCACTTTGTAGCTTTCAGGTGCTATACAAGTGAGACAAAAGAGAAAAGACCATATTTAGTGTCTTAAAATTGATTTAGAAACATTCACCTATTCAACATTTACTGTGAACCTTTGTATCAGGTACTAAGCTAGATTCAGGAAATAAAAAGATGAGGCTGTTACAACTCGCTGGTTCCATGGGAAGGACGCATTCAAAACTCAAGGGCGTGGCTCGACTTATCCTACAGCAGTAGCACGTTCAAGGGCGGCCCCAGTTTATACATAAAGCAAGCACGGGGAAGCGTGACTGGTATCCAAAGTCTCTGATCTTAGTTCTTAGAAAGTTCATGCATTAGGAACCCAAAATTCCAAGAACATAACTACGTGGGTCACCAGAAAGGAGCCAGGACATAAAATTTACTAGGATTTTGAAAAAAGCCTCTGACAAAAGTTCTATAACAAAGATTATTAAAGAGACTAAGGGAAATGTATTCTAGGAAAGGAATGAAGGGCAGAAATACCACGTAATTCTCTGGTTACGTCAAGTACAGGATCCCATACTGTAAACATATTACCTTCTTTACCCATATATGTATTTTTAAAGATTTTATTTATTTGTCAGAGAGAGAGAGAGCGCACACGAGCCGGGGGAGTGGCAGGCAGAGGGAGAGGGAGAAGCAGGCTTCCCGCTGAACAGGGAGCCCGATGCGGGGCTCGATCCCAGGACCCTGGGGTCATGACCTGAGCTGAAGGCAGATGCTTAATGCACTGCGCCCACCCAGGCGTCCCTTTACTCATATTACTTCAGTGTATTTCAAAGGATATTTAAAAGATGTCTGCTACTGTCTCAGATACAAATCATGTCAAAAACCAAGCCCATGAGTTTCTGCCTCCTACTCTCTGCCTTAAAACCTGCTCTGCCCAGTCTTCTCCACCAACTGAGGCAATTCTACCCTTCCAGCTGCTCATGCCCCAAACCCTGGACTCATCCTTGACTTCTGTCACTTCTCATGCTCAATGTGTTAGTAAGTTCTTTCACCTCTAACTTATAAAACATTTTACCACCTCTCCTGCTGCCTTTCTAATCATCTCCTCCTTGCGTGACTATAATATCCTCTTACCCAGTCCACGTGATCTTCCCACTGACCACCTTTAGTCTGTTTTCATCTTAGTAGCCAGAGTGATCCCCTTAAAACGTAAGTTGTATCACTCCTCTGCTCAAAACTCTCCGATAGCTCCCATCCTGCTCCGAGTAAAACCTAAGGTCTCCATCATGGCCCACAAGGTACCCCTTTCCCCTCTTAATTACTCTGTTCTCGTCATCCTGACTTAGTCCATCCCAGAACTTTGCATGGACTTGAAACGTTTTTGTCTCTGATACCCACATGGATTTCACTTCCTCTGAGACTCTGCTTAAATAAGACATTAGAGAATCCCCTTGAATTGTTTAAAATAGCACCCCCATCACTCAGCACTTTGCACTCCTTCCCCTGCTTTGTTTGCAGCCCTTGCCCCTGACATATTACATATCATCTCTCCATTAGGCTAAGGAAATTGGACATTATCTAGAAAATAGGAATGATTGGCTCAAAGTTTTTGAACCTGAAAAGGTGTGATAATAATTATGCTTTAAGGAAGGAGACTAAATTTAAAAACTGTTCCCAGGATGTACTAAGAAGAAATTACTAAAAAAAATATTCCCTAAATTTACCTTTGACCTCTAAATGAGGAATACACCGAATTTTTGTGGCTCTCTCTCAGTTACATATGGTATTAGCTTAGAAAATTGTAGGTAATGGGGCACCCAGGTGGCTCAGTCAGTCAAGCATCTGACTCTTGATTTCTCAGATCATGATCTCAGGGTCATGAGATCAAGCCCCTCGACAGGCTCTGTGCTCAGTGGAGAGTCTACTTGAGATTCTCTCTCCCTCTCCATCTGCCCCTCCCACTCATGCTTGTGCTCGATCTCTCTCTCTCTAAAATAAATAAATTAAAAAAAAAGAACCACCTTCCTCCTTATTCTGCAAGTTAATCTTACTAAAATTGCTCATAAAGCAGCTGTTAAGAAACATAACAGAAAGAAGTAGAATGTATCACATATCTGGAGTACAATGATCATAATTTTCTTTTTGTTATAGAGCTACCTCCAGCACACAAGTAAAGCCTTAATTAGTAAGCTATTTATGGATCTGCTATTTATTATTTTTAGTTAAGTGAAAAAGAATGAGAACCATTTGTTTAGAATATATTTCAAATGTATTCATTTCTTTCTTGCCTTGGTATATATGACATAATTTAATCTTTCTCTGGTGATTGCATATCCGCAGGGCCCCCAGGTCCTGACAACAAACATCAATCCTAACTGAATATTATGTAACAGTCCACCATGAAGGAGATTAAAAAGACTGTAACACACGTTCAGTCCAAGTGACTTTTCCAAATAATCTCTGATATCAAAGAGCTTTTCTTTTCGGCGGCGGGGGAAAAGAGCTATAATTTGTTTTATCATCTTGAAATTCAAATGTAAAAAATATAGTTGAATTAAACTGGAGGTCTGGTTACTTGAATCCCAATTTATCTACATCTGACTTCTACTGGATCTGCCCTAGCTGAACATCGATTTGCCTGCCCTCTTATCATCCGGATCTTGGAATTCATTGCTATCCCGGAAAACCTTCTGGGTCCTACTCATAACAAGACACATATGAAATCTTAAAATTTTTAATGCTCATGTAAAAATGACAGCTTAACTTAGTAAAGCAAAAGTAATTTTAAAAATGGTCAGTCTGTTTAGTCCAAGATTATAATTGTTATAATTATAACAGTAATAATTTATAAATACTTGTTAATGTCTACCCTTTAGGTTAGACATTCATCTAACGTTTTCAGGTTATCTTTCCACTTTTCTATCAGTCCATTTTTCCTTCCGTCACTGTAAGAATCTTTATTTCTCCAAAAACCTCTCTGGTTAACACTCTATTGTGATAAGACGGAAGATACAAACTCAAACAGATCTGGGCTCAGGTGACCTTCAGAAAGTTTCAGAAAGTTTGATGCGTAGGTTGCGGGGGCAAGGGGGAGGGAAATGGCCTCCCTCACAGGGCTGCTGGGAAGATGCGGGGATTAGTGAAGATTCATGGGAAGAATGTGCCACAGAGCTTAGCACACGACAGATGTTTAACACATTCGTTTCCTCTCTTTCGCTCTTTCACTGAGGTCTGGGCCTTCCTCAACCACGGCACTTGCAGCACTTGGCATGGTGTAGCACTGTGTTTGGAAGTTCTGAGGAGGTGGTGTGTGCTTTGGAGTCAGCTGACCTGGCTGTGCCCTTAACGGGGTGTGAATTCTCAGCACATCACTTAACCTCTCAGCCTTAATTTTCCCATCTGTAAAGAGGGACAACACTTAAAAAAAAAAAGAAAAAAAAAAAGAGGGACAACACTTACTTCCAGGGTTGTGAAAATTAATGAGAGCAATGGGCCCACCACAATGCTCAATAACTAGTAGAAAGCATTTTATTGGCTCTCTCTTTATTCCCTACACAAATATGGGAAATGGTTTCTGTTTTCCCAGGGCTTTGCTCATGCAGCACTAATGGGGAAAGTAAACCTATGTCAACTTGGTGACAGGGTCCTGGGGTGTGAAGTCTGGCTCAGCTGCTGGCTTCAGAGGTTTCCAACTCAGCTACAATCACACCTCCTGGGGGCCCTCAGGTAGGCTGGGCTTATTGGTATGGTTTTATAGGGTACAACCTGGCTTTGGAAGAGGCAATCCTCAGTGTTTCTGGGACTTAGATGACAGTTTCAGGAGACTGAATGCCCTTCAAGTTACCATTGCATTAAGTAAATATGAGCTTTTAAAAAACAACAACAACGGGTGCCTGAGTAGCTCAGTTGCTAAGCGTCTGCCTTTGGCTCGGGTCATGATCCCAGGGGCCTGGGATGGAGCCCCATGTCAGGCTCTCTGCTTGGCGGGGAGCCTGCTTCTCCCTCTCCTTCTGCCTGCCTGTCTGCCTACTTGTGATCTCTCTCTCTCTCTCTCTCTGTCAAATAAATAAATAAAATCTTTAAAACAACAACAACCACAACAACCCCAAACCCTCCATTATAATAATGGAAAATAAAATCTTACTATTATTTTTTTAAACAAAGTACAGGGAATTTCACTATTTGAGAACACGATGAAAGTAATTTATTTAAGATTTCTAAGATTTAAAAAACTGGAAATCCTAGGTAACTAGCGGACAGGATTGAATATACCATTTTTTATTTCACCATTCAAAAATACAGTTTTTAAATGACTCAGGTGACTTTCCAGCATTAATTTGAATCTACTTCATTTTTCATAAAGAAAACTGAGTCATATACCATGATGCTCAATAAGTCTTTGCTAGCCTTATAAAATCTCTATTGATCTTCCTGCTAGCTTGAAAGCTTTATTACATTAGTGTCACATGTGAGAGTATTAAAAGACAAGAGGAAGGATGCAGAGAAGCAAGCACCCTTGTGGTCTGGGGCTCTGTCTCCCTCTAAACTGCTCTGAAACAAAATATAGAGATGGCAGACATTTAGAGCTTTCACCTAGTGAAAATCCTGCAGCTCCAGTAAGTGCCACAAATGAGCCTCTAAAATCCATATCCTCTACGATTCACTGCATTCCTTGCCATGTCTTCCCATAAAGGGCAAGAGTTCTCACTGCTTTGTTTCTATTTTTGGCTCTATGGTCTGGTTGAAGAGTCTCTCTCAACTGATCAGAATAATTGGTTCAACAAATGCTTAATTTAGTAAAAAAAGCTTACTCGAGTAAGACATTTAGGACTACAATCTTAGGAACCATCCTGAGTTTAAATCTCACCGAATGATACGTGGTCTTGATGTCTACAAGGATAATGTATTTCTGTTACTATTTTTTTAAAAGATTTATTTTAGAGAGAGAGAGTACGTGGGCACACATGAGCAGGGGGAGGGGCAGAGGAAGAGGGGGAGAGTGAATTTCAAGCAGACTCTGTGCTGAGTGCAACATGGGGCTCGACCTCCCGACC